CCTCCTCCTCCTCTTCTTCTTCTTCTTCTTCTTCCTCTCCTACGCCGACGACGTTCAAGCCTCCCCGCGGATACGCTAACTGTCTCGCGTCCGAGTGGATCATTTGTCTTCCTCAGGGAAGAACAACTGCGCATATCGCGAACTCCAGAGATTCTCCGTCGACTGGCACGAGCCATTTTCTGCGCATCTCGTGCGTGCTCTACGCGTGTCTCGAAATTTGGATATGGAAATCGAACTAACTCACTTTAATTACAATAATTAGTTCGCTTTAATTATATGTATATATATATATATATGTATGGCTCGATTACTCGTTCGATGATCCACGATTATTATTTAACAAAGATTATTCAGAAATATTCGAGAGAGACAAAAGTGTTACAAAATCTTGTATATACATATATATATATACGCGTTGATCGATGTTTCCTCGCAGGATGGAGCACCGTGTAGAAGTATAGGTATCTCCCGGCCAAGACGTCCCTGACGGGAGTATATCCGCTCTCTCGGAGAGACATAATTCGAAATTGTCGGTTGGGTCAAAGGGCAGAGCCCGGCTACTTGAGCGAGTTGACTCTGCCGGTCTCGGGGGTCACGTGCCACGGCTTCTTTACTTCTTCTGACGTTACCTCTCCTCTCTTCCTTCGAGATTCCACCTCCCTGCGCGACCGGTCGCCCTCCTCCGGGGGCCTCGCACCGATCGTTCGCCTCCTCGTTATCGCTCGCCTCCTCGTTATCACCGTCATTAGATATCTCTTCATCGAGATGACGAGTTTCCTCGCGCCTCCCAAACTTTCACGCCCGCCTTTTTTTCTCTTTTCCCCCGATCGACGATTCTTATCGAAGCAAACGATATTTAATACTTTGGATACAATGAAGGAGATAAAAAGTGGATAGAAACGAAAGAAAGCGAGAGAGAGAGAGAGAGAGGAAAAAGGCAGGAGAAGGCACGATAAGTCGGTCCTGCAACAGCCGAGAGGCGAAGTGACCTCATCGGATGTGGCTCTGATTCGCTCAATTCGTCCACCACGTTCCAGAGAGCTCGTGCGCGCGGTCGCGCGCGCGCGCATCAACGCGCCAAGACACGGACGTGTCGCGCGGAAAAGGAGCCTTTGCGCGATTGCTATCGTCTTTGCCTCATTATTCCATTATGATGGCGTGTGGCGTGTGCCGTACCCCATTCGCCCTGATTGCCAGCGCCTTCTCCCCTCCTCGCTTCCTCGCGCGCACATCCTCCCGTCTCTCCTCCGCATACTCTCCTTCCTTCTCCTCCAAACCTATTCCCTATTCTTTTCCTCCTTCTTTCGATTCTCCCTTTCCTCCTTCCCTTCTTTCCACGTTCCTCTTCCACGTTCTCCGCTATCTTTCCTCCGCTTTCCACGAAGAGAGAGAGAGAGAGAGAGAGAGAGACACGTCTCCGTCCGTCGAGATGCATACGCGCACGTTTCGTTCCTCCTCGTCCGTAGAGAATGTCTTCGTTGGTCCCTCGATTCCAGGCTCGAGCACGCGTACACATCGCCGTGACGATGATGTGCGTGATATTACGCCGGCTGGCGAACGTGAATCCCCGAGGGTGCGACGAGGAGGGAGAGCAGGCGAGAGGCGAGGAGGAAAAGAGAGAAAAGCGAGGTGAAAAGGGGCGGTGGCGGGGGCGGTGGCACGGGGGAAAGGGAGTCGTCGAGGCGAGAGGGGACGAAGGTGGATGGACGACGGGACAAGGTAGGGCAGAGACTCTCAAACGGTTCGGAACAGGTTCCAGGACCGTTGCTTACCTCGCCCCGTCCAAAGGTGGGTGGAGAACGAGTTACAGTACGCGCGCCGGCCACGGAAGACACCTGGTTTTCGGTTAAGCGCGGCTCTCCTCC